CCCAATCAATTGATATAGGATACTGGATTTATACTATACGAGCTGTTGCCCGCGACTTCGTCAGCGTGGTATTAGAAAACATACAAACTATGTAAATTACAAAAAGCTACGTATCCCACAGGAACCGGACATTTCTCTGAGATGAAGCTTATCCCATGTGTACTCCAGACTTTGTTTTATATCTGTGCCAAATTTCAATAAGATATGTTGAACCGTTGCAGAATTATCGAGTGAACATTAAAAAACTAAATTAATGAATCCCACGTGAACCGTAACTATTTCCGGGATAAAAAGTAGCCTATGTGTTCTTCCAAACTATACTCTAAACCTGTGAAAAATTTCATGGACATCCGTTCAGCTGTTTAGGCTACAAACGCTAACAAACATCCATCCATCTAAACTTTCGCATTTATAATATTAGTTTATAACATTAGTAAGATTACACAGATCTGGTTCAAGAAATGTCTTGATTCCATTACCATAACATCCTGTACCTATAATGGAAAATACAGGGTGTTTTGATTAACGGTTACTGTAAGTATCAATTACTTAATCAGTTGCGTTGTTTGTTAATTAAATGTCCATTGAAATACGAAAAATCAAATAAATATCTCAGTTAGATAATATATGTTTAAGGTTAGTTACAAGAAAATCAATTTAACCAAACATGGGCGAGAGAAAACATCGTCCCGGTCTCGGACAAGTCAAATATGCGGCACTCGACCATTGTTGGCTGACTTAATCAAACACGGTATTTACCTTTGCCCCCGTACGGTAGAAATATCGTATATGAACCGTTTGTACAATACAATTTTTATCGCAGACAGACTGCAAAAAATATTGTTAAACAATTTTATTTGTATTAATCGTACGCTTATTGCTGTTGCCCGCGACTTCGTCCACGCAATATTAAGATAAAAAAGTAGCCTATAATATGTCTGTCTATATCAGCTACCCTTTCGCCTAGCCGTTTCCGAGATTACCCGGAACAAACGCGGCTTGCGGACAGACAGACAGACAAAAAATTGTCAATGCGATTTTCGTTCTCAGCAACGCAAATACAATCTTCCCGAAACCTGGAATCTTTCTTTTGATATTACAAACACTCTAATTTTATTATATGTATAGAAGACAATAACAATCATGTAAGGTTTAATTACAATTGACATTTTATTCATATGTAAGGTGAACATTTATTTGCTAACTGTACTAAAGAACGGACATACGAACAGTGTGCCCTTAACTCCAAGCCTCTTCAATAAATGTTAAGAAAATTTTTAGTAACATATCTTTTGAAAGTCAGTGACTACGCTGGAAATGTTTTGTGTTCCTATGTAGGGACTTGGAAACTAGAACATCTAAAGTAGAGTGAAGGTTACTTAAGAAAACAAGTGGCCCACGACTTGAATATGAATTAAAAACTAGACGACCTAACATATGAATAGACACTTCCAAGTTTTGTATGTCTATGTATACATATAGACGTAGTCTATACTAATATACTAGCTGGTTCCCCGCGGCTTTACCCGCATGAAATTATACATATTAACATTTGTCAAATTCTCAATTGCAAATGTCAAAATTTAAATACACAATTACCGTACCATGGTAATCTTGTTTCCTTAATGTTGGCAGCTTATAGTCCCTTTCCGACACGAATATTTTTTCCAAATTATTAACCCCCTAAGTTTAAAAGCGTCAAAATATATAGCCTAAAGCGTTTCGTTGGTATAGGGCTTTTTATTAAAGAAAGAATTATTAAAAAATATGCTGTGATTACTGACATCTTACGCCACAAAGTAGTGTGTGTTTACGCTTTAATATAATAGTATAGATAGATAGATATATAGATAGGTATAGATATAGACTAGGACTATAATTATAGTACACATTTCACCGAAATAGATAAATACAGCACTCAAAATGGAATTACACTATTAATTCGTGAGTGTAGGAGCGGTTTACGATCATGACTATTTACGGCCGAGTATTGGTGTACAAAACGCGTTTATGAGG